ACAGGTGAGAAGGCCCGGGCCAGGTGACATCACCTGCGCGAGGCCCGTCGCCGGGCTGAGGACGGCTCCAGGGAAAGGCGTCTGGTCCCGAGGACTGCAGAGGCTTTGAAGGGCGTGCAGCTGGCCGGGGAGGGCTGGTTCCGGTCCTGGGTCCGCCCGGCGCTTGGGCGCCTTTGGACAGCCGGCCTCAAATAACTGAGCCCCGGCTCCTCGTCTTCCCTCGTGGGGTCCTCGTAAGGACGCGATGGCAGTGCGTGTGACGTCCATCCCTCCCCCCCCACCCTGTACCTGGCATCACAGCAGCCGCCGGGTGCGGTGGCTCACGCCTGTCATCCCAGCACTTTGGGAGGCCCAGGTGAGAGGACTGTCTGAGCCCAGGGCTTTGTGACCGGCCTGGGCAGCTTGGCCAGGCCGTGACTCTACAATAAATCAATAATTTGACGGGGCTCGGTGGCTCAGACTGTCATCCCGGCACTTTGGGAGGCCGAGGCGAGAGGATTGTCTGAGCCCAGGGGTTCGAGACCAGCCTGGGCAACTTGACTCTACAATAAGTCAAAAAATTTGGCTCAGACTGTCATCCTGGCATTTTGGGAGGCCAGGGCGAGCAGATGGCCTGAGCCTGTGGGTTCAAGACTAGCCCGGGCAACTTGGAGAGACCTCGTCTCGACAATAAATCAAATAATTGGCTGGGTGTGGTAGCACACGCCTGTAGTTCTGTTTGAGAAGGCTGAGGCGGAAGGATTGCCGGAGCCCAGCAGGTCGAAGCTGGGGTGGCTGTGAGCATGCCCCTGCACTCCTGCCTGGGCAACAGAGTGAGACTCCAACGACTCAAAAAAAAAAATTAGCCGGGTGTGGTGGTGCACGCCTACAGTTCCAGCTTACTTGGAAGGTTGAGGTGGAAGGATCTTCGGAGCCCAGCAGACCGAGGCTGCAGTGGCCGTGAGCAACCCCAGCCTGGGCAACTGAGTGAGACTCTGACTCAAAAAAAAAGAATAAATAACTGAGTCATAGCTCTTCATCTTCCCTTGTGGGGTCCTTGTAAGGACAAGATGGCAGTGCATGTGACACTCGCCCTACCCCCCTCACCCATCTCCCCTCCCCTGCGTGGCACAACGTTAGCTCTCAGTGCATGCTGGTAGTGACTGGGGTATTATTTTCAGTCGGATTTGGGGAAGATGAAGGGGCAGGGGAGGCAGCGAGGATGGCTCGAAAAGGTTTCTTAGGGCTGGGCTCTGGCTCAGCCTGTCCTCCCAGCACTTTGGGAGGCCGAGGTGAGTGCATTGCCTGAACCCGTGGGTTCGTGACCCGCCTGGGCAACTTGGCGAGACCGTGTCTCTACAGTAAAAAAAAAAAAAAATTAGCCGCGTGTGGTAGCACGTGCCTGTAGTTCCAGCTCCTTGGAAGGCTGAGGCAGAAGGATCGCCGGAGCCCAGCGGGTCGAGGCTGCGGTGGCCGGGAGCAGCCACTGCACTCCAGTGTGGGCGAGAGAGTGAGACTCCAACTCAGAAAAACAAAAAACAAAACAAAAGTTTTCTTAGGAAGGGAGATAGAAATTGGGGTCCCCAGGAACTCCCGGAATCTTAGCACAGCTGAGCTGGGGCAAGGTTGCAGGGCACAGGAAGGGCTTCTGGGCCTCGGACAGCGAGGAGGCGTGAGCAGAAGTCACGATGGCCCGGCGACCTGGGGTCGAGGCTCGGGCTGCAGACTCGGTCGGGCACGCTCCCCCACCTCCCTGCTCTCTGTCCCCAGATGCGCTGCCTGACCACGCCCATGTTGCTGCGGGCCCTGGCCCAGGCTGCGCGCACAGGTAGGACCCAGGGAGCCTTGCTGGGGTGGGGGAGCCCCATCTCTGGAGGTGAGGACTCAGCCGCACTGTCTCCTCTCCCCTTGCAGGACATCCCAGCGTCCGAAGCCTCCATGGCAGCGCAGTGGCTGCCACCTACAGTGAGTCCCCGTGGCTTCCAGCCTCAGTCTGTCCTGCTTGTGCTCCTGCTGGAGATAGGGAGTGGGTGGGAACCTGGATTCTAGCCTGGCTAGATTCTAGCCCCCTGTAAGCCTCAGTTTCCCTTCTTAAAATGAGTTGGATAGTGGAAGCAACTGTGATTCTTTGGGCAGAATCCGTCACCGCAGGGCCAGGCGGTGTGATCTCAGAGCCCCCTGGGTGCGGCGGGGAGGGAGTTGCTGGGACAAGCCTGGGGCCTTGCCTCTTGGCCAGTCCTTACCCACGCCCCTCAAGGCCTCCCTCAAGCCCTCCTGGAGGGGCCCCTGGGCACGATGGCCACCGCGGCACGGGGGAAACGGGCGAGGACGGGCCCAGGCCGCAGGCAGCCGTTCAGGGAAAGGCCTGGGGAGCGGGCAGGCCCCAGGAGCCCAGCCGCTGTGCCTGAGGTGAGGCCCGGCCCATTGACCCACGCCCGGTCCTTAGAGGGTGCACCGGGCCCCCGCCACGGCCCCTGCCCCCCTCCCCGCAGAGTATGTGAACATGCAGGAGCCGGAGATGGACATGAGGTCGGTGACCGACCGGGCGGCCCGGACGCTGCTGTGGACCGAGCTCTTCCGAGGTGGGTCCTGGGGGGAGGGGCCGGGGTGGGCACGGGTGTGTCGGGAGGGGTGCCCCCGCCCACCTCACCCGTGCGGCCCGCAGGCCTGGGCATGACCCTGAGCTACCTGTTCCGGGAGCCGGCCACCATCAACTACCCGTTTGAGAAGGGCCCGCTGAGCCCGCGTTTCCGCGGGGAGCACGCGCTGCGCCGATACCCGTCCGGGGAGGAGCGCTGCATCGCCTGCAAGCTCTGCGAGGCCATCTGCCCCGCCCAGGTGAGCCGCCCTCGGGCCGGAGGAGACTGCCCAGGAAAGCCCCTTCCCTCTCAGAGCCACTTCCCCTGTGAACGGGTTGCCAGAGCACCCTGAGTCAGTGCGTCGGGCGTGTGACACATATCCGTCCCCTCTTGGGGCCTGGCAGGGGCGTGGAACCCTGGCCCACGAGCTACACGAGGTCCCTGGGGCTGTCCGCCCCTCTGGCCGCAGCGGCGGTCTCGGGAGCCCAGCCCGTGCGCCCGTCGCAGGCTGGACACGAGGACACCACGCCGCGGCTGAGACCCTCGGCCCCGACTGCCGCTCCCTGGAGGCCCAGCTTGTGGTTCTCTTGGGTCTCAGACTGGCCGGAGCCGGGCCTGTTAGTGCAGAGCAAGGAGAGGCCACCCAAGCTCCAGCCTCCCGGCATGCCTGGCCCTTCCTCGTCCACCTGACAGCCCCTCCCGGGGTTCTGGGACTCAGGCAGCACCTGGCCGGGCCCTCCGGGCCACGG